GTAGAGTCAAGACTGTCAGCTTCTTAAATCACTCTTAATGTGCCAGGACCTGCCTGCTGGGAAAAGTGATAAGCTATTTTGTAATTGAGTAAAAGGTAAACAGAGGCAAGCTCCAGGAAGGCTCCTGTAAATACAACATGCCTTAGAGTAGCCTAATGCAGGATTTGGCTGCCGGGCTTTACCTGAGCCTATTTAGACAATCCCTTACACACTGGAGAAGAAGGATGCTGTGTCAATCAAATGAACCTCCAGGACAACACTGCTATCTGTTGGCCCCTTCCTTCCTGCCCAGGGTGATGACAGCTCCATGAGGGTTAAGATTATACATCTCTTGCCATTTTAGTAACAGGGAAAGAACTCAGTGGCAGAATGAGGGTGGTTGGTGTGTACATAAAATTGCTGACATACTTTTAAGTTGGAAAATTTCACTATCGTATCAACTCTGGCCTTAAACTTCTCAAAATAGTCTAATGGCTTGTTATTTTGGTTTTAATTCAACAGAGCTCTCCTGGGAGTGGGGTTCCTGTAAGAATCCCTGAAATATGCTTTGCAATAAAAGAAAAAAGCACACCTCAGTCTCAGTGACTGAAGAGGACTGTCATACAGTAGTAGGTGGGACAGTGGCTTTGATTTTCACTTTGTGGGTTTGGATTCTATTGTATACAAAGGATGCATTCTGGAAACCTGAAACAATTTGTAAGAGTCCCTGGAATATGCTTTGCAATAAGAGAACAAAGCACACCTCAGTCTCAGTGACTGAAGAGGAATGTCATACAGTAGTAGGTGGGACAGTGGCTTTGATTTTCACTTTGTGGGTTTGGATTCTATTGTATACAAAGGATGCATTCTGGAAACCTGAAACAATTATTGTTCTTACCTCAATGAGACAGAAAATTATAATCAAAATGATCACTACGACCATCACAGATATTGCCAAGATGAGTTTGTTGTCATGGCCATATTCTGGAAAATATTTAGTGAGCTAAAAAACAAAAAACAAAAAAAAATCATTTTTATAAAACAAAGAGATAGGATGAAAGCTGGGATGGCTGGGTAGCTCACTTGGGAGGGCGTGGTGCTTATAACACCATGATGAAGGGAGGAAAGCTAACTATTCAAAACCCCATTCTTGGGCTGGCTGGTTAGCTCAGTTGGTTAGAGCATGGTGTTGTTAACAGCAAGGTCAAGGATTTGGACCCTGGTAGACACCAGATGCCATAAAAAAAAAAAAAAAAACCCAAACAAAAAAACATAAAACCCATTCTTCCAGATGAGTAGCTTACAGGCTCTTAAAGAACATACTAAATCTAATGTGTTACATAATCTTACTATTAAGCATTTTCTTCTAGAATTTATCTTGTGTGTTAGGTCTGCTTTATTCTCTGAGCAAAGTGGGAGATCACTGTCTTGGCCAAAGTTATGTGACCAAGACAAGATATGGACTAGGAGCCTCTGGTCTTCCTGCTTGGGCACTTTAACTGCATATCCTAAATGATGGAAAATTCGGGGTCTCCTGTTTCAGCAGTTGTCCTCACCTCAGGTGACTCCTGGTCTTTCTGTTCACCCTGGGCTTCTGGGCTCTCACTGATGTAGTTCTCACTTTTCCATTGGTCCGGATCCCATTCTGCCTTGGACACCTTTGATTCCTCCTGCTCACTGAGAAGCTTCATCAGGAGGCCTGTTCTGGAGATGAGCTTGGCACAAGCCATTTGTACATGGGGCTCAGAGCAGTCCATTTTTAAAGTCCGGATAACATGAGAAATGAGCCTTCTCATTTCATTGTTGGACATGAGGGATTGTAGGTGCTGGTTGAGCTGCAATTCAAATTGATCGCCTGGGGATGAAAGTGATGGGTGACTGAAGTCTTTGTGCTTGAGGGGTAAGTCAGTCTCCGGGCTGCGGTATTTCCATTGTGTTTCACTGGATTGTTTAGCAGATGGCACTGACTTTAATGCAGTCACAGGAGAATCTGCAGCAGAATTCTTGTGGTGCTCTGATCCCTCTTGATGCTCTGACCCCTCAAAGATGCTCTGATCCCTCCTGATGCTCTGATCTCTCAGTTGTTGGAAGTGCCTTTTCTTTTTGCCTCTTGGCCCCTTGAGGATTCTGTTCATCCTCTGCAGCCTTTCACCTACACTCTCAATGAAGCTCTGATCCCTCACTCGATGCTCTGATCCCTCTTGATGCTCTGATCCCTCAATGATTTTCTGATCCTTCTTGATACTCGGATCCCTCAGTTCTTTGAAGTGCCTGTTCTTTATGCCTCTTTGCCCCTTGAAGACCCTGTAAACTCTCTGAAGCCTTTTCCCTACACTCTCAGTCATGCTCTGATCCCTCAACGGATGCTCTAATCCCTCGATGATGCTCTGATCCCTGACTCGATGCTCTGATCCCTCTTGATGCTCTGATCCCTCAGTGATGCTCGGATCCCTCAGTTCTTTGAAGTGCCTGTTCTTTATGCCTCTTTGCCCCTTGAAGACACTGTACACTCTCTGCAGCCTTTCCCCCATACTCTCAGTCATGCTCTGATCCCTCAACTGATGCTCTAATCCCTCAGTGATTCTCTGATCCCTCTTGGAGCTCTGATCCCTCACTTCTTTAAAGTGCATTCTCTTCTTGTCTTTTGGCCTCTTGAGGAATCTGTTCACTCTCCGCAGCCTTTCCCCTGTGCTCTTGATGATGCTCTGATCCCTCATTTGATGGTCTGATCCATCTTGATTCTCTGATCCTTCGATGATGCTCTGATCCTTCTTGATGCTCGGATCCCTCATTTCTTTGAAGTGTCTGTTCTTTACGCCTCTTCTCCCCTTGAGGACTCTGTACGCTCTCTGCAGCGTTTTCCCGATACTCTCAAGCTTTGCGAGGCTGTTCTCCTGTGGTTGGGCAGTTTCTAATTTCTTTAGAAACATTTGGTGTTTAACTTTGGGTCCTAAAAGACTAGACTGCATATGCATGGCACTTTTTTCTTTCTTCTTAACCTCATCAATTTTTTCTTCAATTTCTGTATCTATCAAATTTTCAAGAAAATAGAGCTTCCTCAATTTATTTGTGTAGGGTGAGTTGTTGGATTCAGGTATAAGAGAGGGGCTATTTGTATTTTTTTTCAAATAATCCAGGGGTGTATCTTCATCCTGCACATTTGAAAGAATCAGTTTAATGAATGGTAATAATGTTGATTGTATATCTTCTAGGTTTCCCTTGGATAGATAAGATAATAGGTAATTTAGTGCATGTGTAATTTCGCTTTTATCATTTAGGTCTAGCTGCTCATTCATATTTGCCCAGTTCATGCCAGTTTTGTCTGAGAATTCCTTCTCTGGCTCAATCGTCAGCTCAGTGCTTGTGTTCTGTTTCCGAGCTTTTAATATCTTCATGAATCTTCCTTCTGGATTCTTTAGGGATGCCTCTTCAACTGTCAAAAGAGAAGAGATTCTTTTTGATAAGGAAGACTCATGGAGCAGCTTTTTGTCAGGCCACAGCTATACACCCCAGTCAAATAAATTAGGAGTCAGCAAACATATGAGTGCCATTTAGAGAGGAGGAAAATAAACCAACACTTAAATCTATGAAATAGCAACAACAAAAGGAGAAAAAGACATCATTTGAAAAAGTGGCCGCCTACTCAGAACATTCCATTTAGATTATTCCATTGGTCCCCAATGGCCAATTGCCCAGTACTCATGCCCAAGGCTGGAAGACAAATATTCTCCAGTCAACTGGCTTCTCTGCAGATCTTCCATGCCTCCTCACGTTCAAGTGCCCCATACTATCCTGCCTCATGTGCAGAGTGAGTGCAAGTCTTCCTCTGTCCCCCTCTTTAGTGTGCTTTTGGTCTCACTACCATCACAGGTGACCATGATGAAAGACAGTCGTCTGAGGGGAAAAAGGGCAGAGATGCTAAAGGAGAAACCCCACTCCCCCTGCTAACAGGCCCTCATCTGCACATCCTTCTCCACCTACCCACCCAGTTCCTTCACTTGGTCCCTGCTCCCATATAGCATAGCCCCCATAACAGAAGGCTCTACACAGGACAAAACAATATGTCTATTCGGGTTCTTTCTTTAAATTTGTGCAGGCATCTGGGGTATAAGTTAGATTTCTAATTTGCCAGCTTGTATGCCTATGTGGAATGTTCAATAAATGTGTGGAGTAAAAGCAGTTTCTGGATAAATATTACTAGAGGTCCTCAAATGCAGAAGAAAAAAAGCAACTTTGTCAGAAGCCTAGTACTTCATTTTCTTTTCATTTCTAGTATTTCCAGCTTTACTTGGGGAACCACCCAAAGCTTCCAACTGCATGAAGTCAAGTGTACCATTGTGGAGCTGGGTTTCTTTCCAGAATTAAAAATCCTTTTGGTGGTGGTGAGGGTCAGAAGAGGAGGGAAGGATCGTGAGAAAGGAGGAACATGGGACAGAAGACCCAGGCACTAGGGTACAGCACTTAACACCTCTGATCTTGCTTTTCCTCATCTGTAAAGGAAATTAAAAATGCTTGTTCTGCCAACTTGTAGGGAAGAAGGAAATAATTTAATTGGTGAAAAAAACATTCTGAAAAACAAAAAACACTGTCTTTATATACATAGCAATATGTTATTATTTATTATTTGACCCAGATCACTGGTAGAGACCTGTATTCAAGGTATCTGGACATAAAATCAGTCACATTTGGGAAGTCATATAGTTAGTGCTGATAACAGAAAAACACTTAAAAAGCACCTGACTGTTCTGTGGACAGAAATGCTTGAGACCCAGAGCAAGTTCAGAGTTAGACAGTCTAAGAAGGGAAGAACCTTACATTTCATTAGAAGGGCCACGTAGCAATTTCTATTTATAGAACTAGAAACTCTAAGGCTCTAAATACAACAGCACCACTTGGGCTTTCTTATAAAATTATAAAAACAAACAAAAGAAAACCAGATCTACACCTGTCCCATAAAGCAGAGGGCACTTGAGACCTGATGCATGTAAAACCAGTT